GCTGCTTGGGTCCACGGCCTTTGTGCGTAAGGGTATGTTTGGTCGTTTGGGGCTAGAGAATGTGGGTGCGGGCTTAGATTTTTGTTGAATGGAAATAGGATGCAGGCATCTGCTTACCCATCGGATTTGTTGCAAGTAGCATGGTGTCGATAGAATAGCATATTTTGTGAAGTTTTCGGCTCCAGGGTCCTGTTTGCATATATAGTGCAAAATGCTTATGCCACGAACTCAACTCACAATGCTTCACAACTCTTTAGGCCAATTTCTTTATGTATCAATGCAGTCCTAGTATGAGGAACAGCAGCAGTAGAAGGAGACAATATAATGCGTAGCACGCTGTTGATGCTTGTTGCTTTTGCTCAGCGATCAGGGGCCGCCCACCACCGTAACGCAAGCCATGTCAAAGTATACAGTCATTCCGTCAAGCGAGCTAACAATGCTGGAACAACAAGTTGCGTCTGGCACCGAGAAGTTGATCCACAAAGCCCGATGGCAAGGTCACCCGGCAACAGCGTGATGATCTTGCGAACGGACAGTTGTGGTCAAGTCAGCACAGTAGCCAACTCGTACAGACGAGACCATCCCGAAGCATGGGTCTTGTAAGTTTTTTTGACAGCACAGGTTCTGTTGGCGATTTTTTTTGCAATGGTTTCAACATATGAGCCACATTGACTGGGTTGCTGTTCAGGAACTTAAATTAAGTTACCATAGTGGGTATACATATATATATATATACCGTAGCTGATATGGTTTCCCCAATATAGTAATTAGATTAAGCTCCTTAACCCTAAACCTTATACCCTATATACCCCTAAATACTGACCCCTCATATACCCCATTATAGCAACTCAAATCAAATTCCTTAACAGCAAACCAGTTGAACACAGTCGCAGTCGGCCTGCCATGTCTTGAGGTCAAGATGTTGCAATCCTTGACATTCGTGGAGCATCCCGGCAGTCAGAAAGAGAGCTGCAACAGCTGATGCTGGGTTGCTGTTAAGGAACTTAATTGAAATTACTCTTTGGGGAAACCAAATTACTGATGATGTATACTCATTGTGGCAACTTAATTCAAGTCCCTTATCAGCAACCTAGGATGGTAGAGACGCCGCTCGGAGCGCATCCGCATGTGGTCAGGTGTTTTGGCAGCGCACAGAACATTTTGTATGCGGGATGTACCATGGTCGGGCTTCCACTGTTGTGATCCCAACCCTGGGTTTTCATCGTGACGAGCTTTTGTGAATTCTTCTGCGCAATCGCCACGGCTTCTAGGCAAGCCAGGGCCGCAAAGTTGATGGGTGTGACAGCATATTTCTCTTCCTTGAATTCCTTCCTAGGTTGTTGAATGTATGCAGTTTGATAATTGTCTGTAATTTCGCAGGGTTCACATGCAATCAGGATTTTCGGTGAGACGGACGATGGCCGTGTTGTCAACGAGTGGGCCCCTCTGGGGTCTATGTGTCTCAGCATCGTGTTAGCCAAGCTTAACACCAAATGTCGCTCGATTGTATTGTTGAAAACTAGTAATTCCCCAGTCGCTGGCGTAAAAGTTGTGTGTTTCAATGTTCGGTTTAAAATTCCAGTGGTTTCATTTTCGCAACAAGGTCTTCACGCATCACGTTACAGTTGGTAGCATGTAAACACCAAAGGCCTCTGCATCAAAAGAAAATAGTGAGCTCTTTGCATGGCCCTTTTACCAGCATCGACGCGTGTGGACCGTTGAGAGTCAGCAGTTCAGGTTGGCAGCACAGAGTGTGTACAATGTTGCATTTCGGAGGAGTAAGTCCCCCTTGCACGTGGGTTGGGCGATATTTTTCGGGTTTATATAGGGGGAATGGAGAAGAAAACGGAAACTGCGATACATATGGCGGATATCGGGGCATAGATTGGGGGATGAATATTGGATCTTGTAAGCGTGCATGTTAAGGACGAACTATGATGGCTCCGCAACAACTTTCACGTCCATGGCGGCATCGCTGCTGTGCTGACATTTGAGCCATGCCCTAAAGCCTAAACCTTAAGCTGGAAATGTGAACCCTAAGTCCTAAGCCCTAAACCCTAATTAAGCATTAGACCCCAAACCCTAAGCTTTAAGCCCTAAACCTTGAACAGGTTCTACACACTGCCGAACTGAAACCTTCGGGCTTGCCCAGTTCACTTGGAATCTCTCGGGTTCTGATTAGAGGGTTTCGCATAATTATTGGTATAGGGCATAGGGTTTAGGGTTTCCAATTGGGGGGTCCCCGCAACAAGGATAACAGTATCCCCTCCTTTTTGGGAATTTACCATTTTGCGTAGCGTGCTGTAAGTCTCACGTGTGCTGCGAATGGTACTAGTTTGAAGCATGAACCTGCAATATTCACAAGAAGTCAAGTTGTTGCCCTAACAGGCCTTGGCAACAGTTTGAGTTGCATGGATTTGCTGGAGTGGCATTATTTTCAGTTGAGCGTGATTGTGTTACTGCAGTTCGGATGCCCTCACGTGCCACAGAAGGAGAGCTGTATGTCTTCGCCGGCAGGCATCTAGATGTCCTGCAGATGAAAGGTAGTGAAGACACTGTTTTCGTAGTCATCCTACATGTGTGTGGCAATATGAAACGGGAGTTGCAAAAGGACGGATCCCCATAGTTCTTCATACGGCAAGCTCCCTTGAAGAGTCTTCAAAAGAACTGCATATGCTTTCGGGCTTCTCGATTTTCAGTTCTTCCTCCTTGAAGTTGCCTGTAGCTTTGGGGGTAGTAAAGCGGGTGCAGGTACTTTCACCAAATTTACAGCTGGAGTTTGCCTAGTTACTTATAACTTATAACCTCCGCTGTTTCAATGATGCTTCTTTGATGATATTTTTATTGTTAACATTATCGTTGTTATTAGGATTGTTCTTATTATCATGTATAATATTATTGTTAATAAAGATGTTTTTGTTATTAGTATTGTTATTATTATTGATACTATTATTGATATTACTACTATTATTATTGTTGATGGGAGAGTCTGAAGAGGCTGTCTTGGTCTGTGCTGGCCATCATCGCTTGCCAAGTTGCAGCTGCAGTTGAGGCGGGGAATCTAATGGGGTTTAGGGTTTAGGGTTTAGGGTGAGGGTATCTGCATATCCTGCTGACCATCGAAGATATTCTATGATATCGCTCGGGACATTTTGAAGGGCATGTGCTTCAGCAAAGGGATCTTTCCGGGATGGAGAGGCTCCCTGTTGAGAATAATCCTTTCAAGAACATCGAAGCAGCAACAGCATTAGCACATACTAGTTGATACCAAAAATCCTGCATGACCTAAAGATACTATGGTACCATAATTCCCAAAGTATAAGGTGCCTAGGTTCATGCAGGAATTTTAGTATCCAGCGCAGCACAACAGCAGCCTTCTTGGCTTCTCATGTTGCTGGAAACGCTGCTGCTGCCGGTTGTGCTTCTTGCGCTGCTGCTGGCCAAGACAGCATGTAACCCAGAGCCAGGATTAATAACCCTCCTCCCCTTAATAGGGATTACAATAAGAATGTTATCATTCAGGCGCTTAAAAGCCATGGGTTTATGAATCACGGATCTAAGCCCTAACCGTAAACCCATTAATCACAGGACAACATGTACTGTGCTTGGTTTGAGGTATCCCCTAATATAACCCCAATATATATATATAGCCCTTTGTAAAACCCTAATATTGACAGTGATTGGCTTGAGATATCGGGTTGGTAGACTGTTCGGACAAGCGCGTGAGTTCATCCGAGGTTCATCCTGTGAGGTTTGGGACTGGAAAGAACAAGTAATCATAGTAATAGTAGGAATAAGATTAATAATAGTAAGTATAGTAAATATAGTAATTACTGTAATAGTAGGACTAATAGTAATAATCATTTTGATATCGTTTGATAGTAACAAGCACAACAGTGCAGCCAAAGACTTTCATCCCTGAGTCTGGTCTTGGAAGGATTTGGCTGCGTAGGTTGGGATCAGCAGGGATTCGAGTTGCTGTTAAGGAGCTTAAACCAAGTCACCAAAATGGGTCTTACAGGCTCTAGGGTTTGTAGGGTTTAGGGTCTAAGTTGCCATAATGGGTATGCATAGTAATTAAAATGGTTTCCCCAATATAGTAATTGAAACTAAGTTGTTCAACAGCAACCCAGGGATGGGGTACTGTGCACTAAGGCCACAACGATAAAGTTTTACTCCTGCATGTCTTCCAGTGGAGACAAGGGATTAGAGCGAGCACCCTTTGAATTTCCCAGGTTAGACTTCCATCTATTGCAAGATAGCTCTACAAAGATCTAGTCAGCCGGCCTTGCGTCTCTTAAGATTCGGGGTGCTTTTGGTCTCCTCTGCTGCTGACACTCTTGTCAGGAGCATCGAAGGAGGACCCTTTTTTTTGACAAGCTCCTTTGTGTGTCCCTGCAATCCTGTCAAAGAGCATTGAAGCAAGCCTTGTGGATATGTTTGAGTGATTCATCTTCGGGTCGGGGGGACTGAGCAAGCAGGTTGAGAACGGGCATATGGTTTATAGTTTTTTTATTATCACAGTAGCATATACTTATCAAGTTCCCCTGACGATGTCAAGTGGAGTATCCCCACATTCTTAATCGCGGCCTGAGCTGACAGAAAACAAGAAGACGCCATTCGGTGATGGACCTCTCCAAGTAAGACTCAACCCCAAACCTGGACCTGAACCTTCAAAATTGAACACCCTAGACCCAAAACGTGAACTAAACCTTCCGGGAACCTTGTTGAAGTGAACCAGCAACTTCCTGGTTGCGAGGTATCACACTGCCATTCCAATGCAATTCTCGATACCAATACTGTGAGCATGAACAAAGAATACGGGCACTAAACCCTGAACCCTAAAGCCCTTACGGCCTCCAGTATCCTCCCAGAGTAATAACAGAAAAATACGAACAATAGTTAACAAGAAATAACAGCAATAAACCAAGCAGGGTCCAGTCTCTGGGAACCCTAAGCCCTAAAACCCTAAACCCTAAACCCTAAACCCTAAGCTCTAGGCCTTCTGGAATACAAGTCTGCTGCACCGGGACCTGGCTGCTCGCAATGCTGCTTGACTGGGTTTGGGAGATTTCTCGGGGATATGCCGGTTCCCCGTTTAGGGTTTAGGGTTTAGGACCCCAACATAGACGATAGAATGCTATCGTCCGCACCCCAAACCCTAACCCCAAACCCGAAACCTTGACTAGCCCCTATATCCCTTTAACGTTACCCCTAACTTTGGAAAAGCCTAAGCCCTAATTAATCCCTAAACCCTGGATAGCCCCCATATCCCTTTGAAGGTACCCTAACTTTGGGAAAGCCTAAGCCCCAATCCCTAAACCCTAGATAGCCCCTACATCCCTTTCAAGGTACCCCTAATTTAGCCCCAATTCCTAAACCCTAGATAGCCCCTATATCCCTTTAAAGGTACCCCTAACTTTGGGAAAGCTCTTTTTGACCTTGAATGTTGGGGCTCCGTGCCTGAGAAGTTATATTGTGGGTTGGGCGCAACTCAGATGTTCGCCCTGGCTCTCAACCCCAAACGGTTTAGGGTTTAGGGTTTAGGCACCCTAAATCCTAAACCCTAAACCCTAAAACCTAAACGCTGTTCTGCAACACAAAGCCTTGAACAGCCTCTTTTGTCAGATCTGTGATAACAACTCCTCAGGCCTCCATTTGCATATCAGCCATAGTCTAAACGCCTAGTCTCCCCCTTAATAACCCCAGGGTTTGGGGTTTGAGATTTAGGGTTTAGGGTTTCAACTCCAAGTATCCTCCCTCAGAACCCATTTAATAGTCCCTTATATAATCCCCTTTAAGGAGTTTAGATTCTAGCTCATATTGAAGACAATGCTTATAAAGACACATTATTACCATGCTTCTTGGTATTAATAGTATTACTATGTTTATTATTAGTAGTATCATTAGTATCATTATTGTGAGATCATTTGCACAGGAAAAGCTGCGAGGACATGACCCTAAGGGTCCAAGTACCTAATAATCATATACTTACCCAATACCTGTACTATAATGACTATTACCCAAAACCCAAGTACCTAATTATTGGGTACATGGACCCTCTGGGTGAGTTCTTTCTCTGGGAATCTCTGCGGGAGGCAGCCCAGAAGTTTCTGGGATAAACAGAGCATATTAACTTCAAGAATCCTGGGTTTGCACATTCCCTGTAGAAACCCTGCAAACCAGCCTAAACCCTAAACCCCAAATCCTAAGCCTTAAGCCCAAAACCCTCATGAAGTGCCTAGGTTTTAGTCTTTAGCCTGGACCCTCCGCTAGTGAAGCTGACAGACTTCGGCTTGGTGTCCACAGCCGGACTTGAGCGTGCCTGTGGCGGGAGGATGGGTATTATAGCGTATCTATAGGGTTATTATCTAGGGTTATGTGGGGGAATAGAAGTTTATGTAGGGTTATATATGGTTGGGTAGGGTAATTTAGGGATAGGGGTAGATGAGGTATACGTGTATATCTATATATATATATCTATATATAGGATATTCAGGGTTTGGGGTCTATGCTTTCATGGGCTTAGGCTTACTGGTGAACAACAACGGAGAAGCAACTTGAAAGGACAAGTGGTAGGGGAAGTGGACATGAAAGCCTTGCCGAAGCATTATACAACTTTCTACTAAGTCCCCTGGGCCTTCAAGTAGGGCTGGGGATGTTCCCTAAACCCCAAACCCTGAACCCTAAAGCTTGAACCCTGAATTAGGGTTCAGGGTGTTGGGGTTTAGGAGCAGCCAGCCTTGAGGTTATGGGTGGCCGAAGGGCCATGCTATGGGAACTTGTGCTGTTGTTGAGCAAGATTTGCTTGGGTTCTGTAAGGGATATATGGGGGTTATATAGGGGTGGTATAGGGGACACATAATCATTAAACCCTAAACCTAAACCTTGTAGGGGATATATAGAGATATGGTTCAGGGTTCAGTATTACCCCGAGAATGGAAAAGCCTCAGAGGAACTCGTTGGATGGCCCCGGAGAGCCAGCCGGATGCGGATTTTCACTTTGACGACAAGACGGACGTGGGTGTTTCCAGGGTTTAGAGTTTAGGATCTAGGTTTTAGGATTTAGGGTTTGGAGTTTGGGATGTAGGGTTTGGGGTTTAGGATTGGGGATTTAGGAATTTAGGAATTTAGGATTTAGGGTTTGAAGTTTAGGATTTACGATTTAGGAATGTAGGATTTAGGATTTAGAGTTTGGGGTTTGAGCATTTTTGGTACAAGGTTTGGCAGAAGGAACCCCATGAAGGAATCAAGAGGTTGAGAACTCCGTATAGCTGTCATCAGATTAGCTATAGTCTAAACTCCTTCAAGGTGGGTTATATAGGGGTGTACATAAGGGACTACTATAGGGGATTATAGGATTTAGGGTTTAGGGATTTAGGTTCCAATGAAAGCGCGTAGTTGCCTTCATGTCATGTCCAATTTCCGCCACCCCTTAATGTTCAATATTCCCAATATGCTACTGTATTCCAAAATGGGAATATTTATGTTGGTTGAGGGGTTTAATGAGAGGCCCTTAAACCTGTAATATATTGAAGGTATCTGATATTAGGGCGGTGGTGGGGGTTTTGAAAGTAGCGGGAGAGGAATATGTAACGAATGCTCACATTTGGCGTGCCTGTGGGTTGCTACCCTAAACCCGAAACCGCGTGGACGCGTAGGGTTGATGCATAGATATCCGTGCAATGTGTATTTTTTATTTCCTTTAATCAGGGGGACCCCAAGCCAAGCCCCAAATATTATCATCCCTGTTATGGGGACCTCCAAATGCAACGCGTCATTGTTGGGAAACTCCCGTATTTCGTCTTTCTGGAGTCGTGGGCTTTTGAATGGCCAGGTTACAAAGTCGTTCTGATGTCTTTTTTTATGGCCCAGCTGGAGTATGAACCGACTTGTGCCGCATAATCCCCAACACTCCTACTTGGAGGGTCAGGGGGACTTAGTAAGCAGGTCAGTAACCTCCCTAAGCCATATAATATCCCAGTTATCCTCCTTCTTGACCTACTTCCTAAGGCCCCCTGACCTTCCAAGTAGACTGAACACGACTTCCTAACCCGAACCATTCGTATCGGTGGTCGACCAGGAGATCTACACGTTTGGCTGCTTTCTCTTCGAATTGGCAACACGAGGTTAGAGAGCTTTGGGAGGGACTGGGCTCAGGGTTTGGGGATAACCTGCTGCGAGGGATAACAAAGGTTCATATTGGCTTATAGGGATCATTAAGTTTCTTACGTACTAAGTTGCCGGAAGTGGGGTCGTAGGCAATGTAAATCTAAGTCAACGTCATGCCTAATTCCACAATGATTCGGTCCTTCCTTATTATTCATTTGCAGACAGTGGGGTAGGAGGTTTACATGAGTTAGCAATGACACGCGTAGCAAAGTTTTGGGCCCCTTCTGTCATGCTTTGTTAAGACCTCACCATACCCTACAAAAACTAAACCTTAGGCCCTATACCTAAACCGCGTGAAACCTGACGTTGTCCATTGGGCGGGATCATGCACTTTTTTTCAGCGTATTGCCCAAGCAAGGTGCTTTTTATCCTGGACCCAAACCCAAGTTTCCTGGTGGTCCGTAGTAGGGAATGAAGGAATGATCCCTATAGTAGTCTGTGTAGAATAACGCAGTCACTATTTCCAAGTGAGGGCCTAAAGGCAAAACCCCAAAACCCTAGCCCTGACGAGGTTCACTTGTGCCTTTCGCGCGCACTGGCAACAACCGCATCCCGGCCCTGCCGTTCGGGCGGAAATTGAGTATAATGATACGAGCCCAAGTACTAGCAGTGGTCCTGCAGTAAAGATAACAATAGTACTAGCACTAGTAATAGGAACAACAATATTAATAGGGAGAATTTTGCGTCTAAGTGATAGTAATAAGACTAGCAACAGTAATTAGTCACAGCAGTAGTGGGGGGGACCTCTGCCCCTCACGGTTTTGGTAGTTCCCAAAATTATGTGCCAATTTTGGTACCCTTAAATATTAGGTGCCGTAATATGATCTGCAAGCAAAAGGGGTCCATAGATTTGAGAACAATACCCTAAACCCTAAACCTTAAACCCTACACCTTAAGCCCTAAACCCTAAACCCTGGGCCAATTTTAGGTGCCCTAATATGATCTGCAAGCAAAAGGGGTCCATAGTTTTGAGAACAATCCTTTTTGCAGGGCAGTGTGGGCCACCTCAACGTTCCAGGTCATGACAGCTGGGTAGAGGTGGCTCAAAGTTTTAAATGGCCTTCGGTCAGAAGTTCAGGTCAGATTTGAATTATTACCCTAAACCCTAACCCCAGGGAGCCAAATAGCCCAACGTAGGTAATATTTACAGACGTTGTGGCCCAATGTAGGTTTTTTTATGTTCAAAAGCAGCCCGCATCTGCCATGTTCCAGGTTATCTTTAGAATGGTTTGAAGGATGCACATCATCAGGAATGTCAGGAATGTTTGTGCCTGGGTGTATATTTGGGACGTTTTTTGTGGGCACCGTAGATGCAGGCACGTATGTACCGCTCTCCCCCTCAGCGCGAGCCCCAAATCTCCCTGAAGCCACAACCTATCAACCCAGGAAGCGTGCCGGTGCCCTTCCGTGGGCAGATTTGCAGCAGGTGCCCGACTTCCCGGCCGGCTTCCGCCAGCTCATCGAGGTTGCTCGAGAATGCATGGTTTAGGGTTTAGGGCCGTGTTTTAGATTTAAGGTTCAGGGTTTGGTTTGTGGAGTTTGGTGTTCAGGGGAGATGAGGCATACTTTGGGTTTAGGGCCGTGGAAACGAGAGCCTGGCTTCGAATGGGGCCCACAATTTACCGCCCCGTCTGTAGAATCCTTTCATAAAAGTTTCTCTGCATACACGTCCTGTGTTGATCGTTGTTGTACTCCATAGAAGTATTACTACAGAACCAGAACGAGCTACAGCTCCAGTGATGTAGGTTAGCTGTCTTAGCATGGATGCTTGCTGATTCGTTCTTGTGAGTGATGACACCTTCGACGATATACGTCATCAACATTCGCATGATTTAGTTTGGGAGTATTGGTTCCTGGGATCAGTAGATTCGTTCATATCAAGACTTATTTCTTCCATGCTTTTAAGGTGGATCTCCTAAGCATTGGCGGGAGTTGGATGGCGCACCGTGTCATCATTACTATCACTATCTCAGGTCTGCTGTGAGCGACTACCTGGGAACCGGCCTACATTTCCCTCGCTCCAGAAATACTTACAGCGACTGCACGAGACCGGTGGCGAAAGCATCGAACCTGCAAGTGTGCAAGCGTGCCCGCTGAACGAGGATCCCAGCCACTTTGAGAAAAATGGTGGAGTTTTCTTAGAATCAAGGTTGGTTGTGGGTTGTTTTTTAGATAAGATTTCTTGACGAAGAGCGACGATAGCTCATGTATTGTGGGTAGTATGGATTACTGGTCCTAAACCCTCAACCCTTGCAAAAAACCCTAACCCCTAGAGCTAAAACGCTAAACATTGCTGGGAGGAAGACAGCAGATTCATGTTTCGAAGCCAGGACAAGATGCCTTGCGGTAGCCAGGTTACTCACTGGGAAGTAACAGGGAATAAGGGAATACATCACATAGGGATGATACAGAGATTGCAATTTTCATTCCCTACTACCCGCCAGCAGAAGTATCTAAAGAAGGAGTCCTAAACTTGCATTGGGGAAGGGTCTGCGAACACCCTGAACCCTATTCTTGTGAGATTTCCGTGAACCACAGGTAAGCCCTGGGTGCCCACAGCTTCCTTGTTGCGAAGTTTCGACCGTGATGCAGTGTTGGGTGGTGGGCTAAGTGATGTGCTGGCAAAAGTCAGTACCTCGAGGGTGTCCAAAGACCAGGTGAGCCCATGGGATCGGGATGACAAGCGTAGGTTTTCAAGCGTAAGTTTGGGATATGGTCTTACTGGCGGGGATGTGTGACCAGTGAAATGATTGTAGCACTAGCTTCACAGGTATCAACCGCATTTCAGGAAGCCCTTGTGAGGTGCATTCAGTTCCCATGTTCAGTGACGCGGCCTGTGACGCATTGCAGCTTGCTTGCACACGTGAACTAAGACCTAAGAGGGGTTGACGCAGGCTTCATAGACCGTCTACTGGGTTGCTGTTAAGGAACTTATTTGAAATTAATTACTATATAGGGAAGCCCTATTCATTACTATATATACCCATTATGGTAACTTAATTTGAGTTCTTTAAATCCCTATATTCCCCCCAGTT